GGGTGGAATTTGCTAATGGCAACCAACAGAGCTGCAGCGGCGCCTCCGCCCACTAGCAGGAGCATACCGGATGCCTCGTAGACCGTCCTGCTAGGCCCAAGTGTTGAATAACTCGAGGATCATCGAGAGTTCAGAAACCATCCGGGCTCTTTCGTTCAGACTCTGAGTGGCATAGTTAATGACTGGCTTATTATGAGATATCCGCAGGGCTTACCTGTCGCTTGATTCCTTCTTCTCCTCAAGATCGCGCCAATGACATTTCCTCAGCTTGAACTTGTCGCACCCTTTGCTTTAGTACCTCCTGTACTCGAGCTTAGAGTAAGTTAGTTCAAAGATACCTCAATATTAAGCTCTTTCGGCCTCTGCATGTATGAATTTTAGCTCATTGTGATAGTGGCGGCGGTCCTTGGTAGCTAATTGCACTAGAGACTTCTCACAGTATCCCAAACCCATGATCGATGTTCTCAGAGTCTCACAGGCCGGAATTTTGGTCCACAAGTGACCACTATTTCTATCAGGGGGGATGACTGGGTCTCGATCTACCTGGCCATCTAAGACTATCTCTTTTAAATGCTATTGAATACCCGGCCGTTGGCCGGGATGCGTCTTAAGAGAGGTTGGGCAGAGGAAAAAGAAGATGTCATGTTAGGCCAGCAGACTCATAACATTACAACTTGATCCATAAGAAAACTTCTGTAGTTTTAGGAATTGGGAGAACAACTTGAAGTGCATAAAGATCACAAAGAAAAGGCCAGAAGAGCGCCTGGAACCCCTGGATGTCGATACCATTAACACCAGAATATGTGAGAGAGGTCAACGCAGCAGTGCCACGTATCAATACGTATCTACCTTGTATAACCACATTGTAATACCAGCTCGAATATCAGCATAATGATGTCTATTGATTGGCAGCCTTGCCACCAAGACCAAGAGCAAGAATCTCGATCACCTGACAGAGATATTCCGATAGACTCATGGTGCTTGGCGTGGTTCTGTGTGATATTAACTGATCGCCGCCAATAAAAAAGTTAACGAGAATGAAATTCCAGGGCCTATTTACTAAATTGTTATATATTCTTGACGTATGGAGACTTCAATCTTGAATAAGCGAAGTTGGTCTAGCTATTCGCCCTCTGAGATACAAACCGTCACTCTTGTGCGGAAGTATAGCGGAGCTTAAAGCGGAGTTTGCTTGGCTTGGGCCATATGACATTGGACGTTGCAACATTCTCAATTATATGCTGGAGTTAAGGTTCTCTGTTCGGAGTTAAGACACAACTCCCCTCCCCAGACAACCACTACGCATTGCATGTATCCGGGGTTAATCTTCGGTGATAGGGATCTTGTTATGTGTAAGTCGATGAAGGGAATCATGTCAGTGTCCAAAAGCATAGCTTCCAAACACTTCGTGATAGACAGACGGAATAGGTATAAAGCCTGGCTGATATCTGGCTCAGAGTTCATTTCTTCACCCCAGGTACCTCCTCTTTCCAAACTCGTTGATCAGTAGTGTAAATAATACTGATAATTGTTTCTTTTGTTGAGCAGTCTCGATCATCATGGCGCCTCCAACATCTCTTCCAACTAAACCTCTCAGCAAGACGGGACGACAAATACCTGTTCTTGGTTTTGGATTGATGGGTCTGAGTGCAGTCTATGGGCCTATTGAGTAAACTCCCTATTCCATGTGTAAATATCATTCGTACTGACACTCACTCCCCTAGAAATGACGAGAAACGCCTAGCAGTCCTGGACCGCGCTTGGGAGCTCGGCTATACTAACTGGGACACAGCTAATGCCTACGGTGATAGCGAAGTCCTTCTCGGAAAGTGGTTCAAGCTGCACCCGGAGCGGCGGGCTGACATATTTCTTGCCACAAAGTTTGGCTTGAGAACGGGTGTCAACGAAGATGGGTCGTGGACCAGGTGGGCTGATAACAGTCCTGAGTTCTTCAATGAGTCCCTCGAGGGCAGTTTGCAGAAGATGGGTGTTGATTACGTTGATCTTTACTATGCTCATCGTCTTGACACCAAGGTGCCTGTCGAAAAGACGATGGAGCTGATGGCCAAGGCTAAGCGGTAAGATACATTATCAAGAATCTCCAACATATTGGACCATGCTGATGTATTTCTATCAGACATGGTAAAATCAAAGCCATCGGTATCTCTGAATGCGCCGCCAGCAGCATCCGCCGAGCCTACGCCGTCGCCCCCGTCGATGCCATTCAGGTTGAGTATAGTCCTTTCACGTTGGATATTGAAAAACAGGATATACTCTCCACGTGCCGGGAGCTTGGAATCACCATCTTTGCGTACTCGCCTCTGGGCCGTGGCTTTTTGACAGGCCAGATCAAAAGCATTGATGACTTTGCGCCTGACGACCTCCGCCGCATGTTGCCTCGCTTCAGCCCTGAGAATTTTCCAAAGAACCTGGTTCTCGTTGAGAGTCTCAAGGCACTTGCAGATGAGAAGGGCTGCACGTCGGGTCAGTTGGTGCTCGCTTGGCTGTCGGCGCAGGGCGAGGATATTATCCCAATCCCTGGAACGAAGAAGATCAAGTATATGGAGGAGAACTTAGGGGCATTAAAAGTGCAGCTCTCTCCAGAGGAGGTGCAGAAGATCAGAGATGAGGTCGAGAAGGCTGAGATTGCGGGCCATCGAAACCCACCGGGTTTGTTCAATGAGTATTCGGTTACCATTGAGCTTTAGTGTCCTTACCAGATAGGGATTCATTTGATAGTTAAAGCTCATGATATCTCAATGAATCCTATCAAGCTAGCACATTGCGAAATCTGAATGGAGTTCAATCTGTGATGTATAAACAGTGAGTCTTGTTAAAGCTTTTATCCCTAAGAATTCGGGACGGACAGTGAAAAAGTCTAAAGATTCTTATAAAGGACGTCCAAGATTCAAACTGAAATTATCAAGATCTATTCTAGTGGTATAACAACGCTAGTCATGACAACAAATCATACACAATCAAACTCAATAACATAACCCTTTTACTCATCATTACTCCACTTCCAGGCTTCTGAAATAGCCTTCCAGTACTGCTCAGGATGCTCACGCATATGTCCAACATGGTCAGTATCCACAAACAGCTCCTGTCTCGTCTCGTAGCCTTTCTGCTGAGACTCAGCAATATAGCCCTCAATATCCATATGAGAAATAATCTGATCCTCCTTGCTGTAGAGATACAATCGCTTGGAGTCTAGTGTCTCGTAGTTTGTGTCGTCCACAACTCGCAGAGCGAAAGCACCAGAAGGCTCTCCGCCTGTGAGCTTCTTGATAACAACGTCCAAAGTGAGGACAAACCCCCAGATGCCCTTGGTGATGACAAAAGGCCAGGGGAAGAACTTGGCGGTGCCGAGGGCCATGGCGTGGGACCATTGACCTAGTCTCTCCCACGACCAAAAGGGGTTTCCGGGCGTTGAGTCGAGGACAAGAAGTTGATGAGGCATCTGCCTACCATTCTTATCCCTGAAGGCCTTGAGCGTAGTGGCGTAGCTGATGGCACCGGTGTTGGACATGCTGTGAATAAGAATAGGCGCTGTCTTTTCGTCGAGAAGGCCATCGAGGTTGTCGATAACATGTTGCATAGCGCGTGTTCGCGTCTCAAGACCTGTGAACATGGCGTCGGAAATAGGGCTCAAGATGATAAGAATCTTGGAGTGAGGGAAGAGAGCGCGATAGCCGTCAGCGTATTTTCCAACATGTCTGGCAAGTCCATCGCCCCAGCCGTAGATAACAACAGCAGCTGGATGATCCGCGGGTGGTTTCTCTGAAGTCTCCTCGCTGACGAGAAGTTTGGCGTTGATGGTCTTGAAGCCCGCAAGCTCAGGAAGCTTTTTGCCCGACATTTTCTATATTATAAAAAGACTAATGATAAATGTAAAGGGTATAGTAGGTTGTGCTGACGAGGAATTGACAAGGGAGAGGTCCATGGGAGGGCATTGACATTTTATATATCTCCTTAATAAACTAAGTTTTTTAGTTTCAGAGGATCGAGTAATGTGTCAATTGCTGACATGGGATTTTGGCCTGTCAGATTCTATGTTGGGGACCGCCTGTAAAGTCCGTCGGACGTTTATGCGGAAGAATTGCTACTTTTGGGTATTGGAGCGGTCCCAGCAAAACATCCTTCAGCCCAACAATATGCAAGCCGAGGTTCGCAGAGACTTTTATTATAAATTTAGAGATGGCGTCGGGGAGTTTTATATAATATGCTGAGTGACGTGGACATGCATTTATGTGAGTTCAATTGAGCTTTCTCCTGGAATGGGACGATGATTAAAGGGCGGTACAACGTTGATCCACTTATCAGTGCAGATTTAGAAGACTTCTAGCATTAAACTAGGGTGCTAAAAATACTTAGTCTAAGATCCTGTATATCTATATTAAATTACACCAAGTTTAACTAAGGACTTTTGTCACCTAGGATAGAGGTCCTAAGTTTTATTGCATCCCCTTGACTAGACTGAACGTCAAGATGCATGGATCAGTCTTGGCATGCGTCAAGATTGAATATCATGCGCCAAGTGTTGTATCTAACGACAAGTCATCTCCTTCGGAGTTATCAAGGTTGCTGGTATCTTACTCAGACTTGCTATAGCCTAATGACCAACCCATGATTGGAGTCACCCAATTTGTCAAACAGTGATTGGATGGCAGATCTCGTCCCAAAGTAAGCTAAGAAATGAAAGAGGTCAGACGGGATTGATAGTAGGACTAAATAATAAAGGCCTTCCTTGACCGTGATGTCTCACTCGAGGAGAAAACTCGACGTATCAAAAGGTAAGTACCATTCGTTGCATCCGTGAGTAAGACTTGGGCTTTTCAAAAGCTGCAAAGGCAGTCTGATTATTATTTCTTGTCTGTCTATCATAAGAAGTCTAGTGCGGTTGAGTGGTGACATGTAAAGCTCTCAGCTTTCATTTTTCATAAAACCATGCAATGCATCCTGGTATATCCCCGAAAATCAAAACAACGTCCAATACACTTTTAAAAGGTAGCCGTGATCTTCCATCCAACACGGTGGATTCTTGCAGCAAGGATGAACATAGTGCCAGCCATGCAGAAGACACCAGCAAAAACCTTGACTCCAAGCCAGCCAGTTGGCTTCTCGAGGATGGCGCCGTTGATAGGGTTGGTGGTGAGTCCACCGATCGAGGAGACGAAGAAAACAATGCCGCTACGGAATCCAATTTCTGGAAGAGGGGAGATCTGAGCAACGAGTGGTGCAATCAGAGAGACGTATGCGCCAGAGCAGAAACCAAACAAGGCTGCAAAGGCAATGATGCCGTTCTGCGAGTTGCAGGGGATCCAAAGGGCAAGGATCCAGAGGCCAGAAAGGAAACCGACAATAATAAAGATGTTGTAGCGGCCCATCTTATCACCAAGAATTCCTGAACTAACCCGGCCAAAAAGACTGGCTGCGTTGAGGATGGGAATCAAATACTGAACAAGGTTGGGGTCCACGCCAGCGTGGAGGGCCTGAACGGGCAGGTAGTCGATAGGAATAAAGATTCCGAAGGTGAAGAAGAAGAATCCAAGCATACAGAAAATGAATTCTGGCTCGTGGAATGGCCTGGCCAACTGGGCGCGGCTGACCTTCTGAGGTTTGGGAGGGTGGATCGATCTGACTGTGAGGTTTGCGATGATGAGAAGTCCGAGGATCATAAAGGCGCAGATTCGCATGGACCATCCGAATCCGACTTGCTTGATGAGGCGGGTTACCATGATGGGGAAGATGACACCGCCGATACTCGAGCCGGTTGAAAGGATGCCAAAGGCAGCTCCTCTCTTGCTGTCAAACCATCCGTGAATCGTCGATAGAGCTGCAGATGTTAGTGGGTTTCAATATGAGGGTAAAGAAGTGGCTCACCTGGCTGGAAGATGGCTGAGACACCGATGGCAGAGCATACACCCTGAGACAGAAGAATCTGGTAGTACTCGGTACTAATGGACGCCATCATGATACCAAAGACATGCATGAAACTTCCGACAAAAATCAACCATCGCGGTCCATAGTTATCATAAAGCTTTCCGATAATAGGACCCATCCCCATGATGAAGAAGATCTGCAGCGAAGGGATCCATGCGATAGTACTCGACGAGTATTGCTTCAAAAGATCGTTCTGGTAGTATTCCTGAAAAGCGCCAACGCCTAGAATAATTAGTCAACGCCACATAAATACACAACATGGCACTTACTGTTGATCCAGCCAAAACTGCAAAACGAGGTACACCATGCGCCAAGAACAACAAGCCAGGCCGTGAGACCACCATCAGGCGCGCCACTTCCAGCTGGTGTAGCCGCAGGCGCCTCAGGCTGAGTGGTACCCTCCTCAAGATCAGACTTTTCGTTGTTGTAACCAACCTGGTTCTGGAGCGTGAGCTCTGAATTGCGAGGCGATGAAGGCGCGGTTGTTTGTTGAGCAGCCATGATGAGAGATGCTGTTTTATCTGATCGAGGGTTGCTCTGAGTTTGAGGCTCTACCTTAGTTGGGTGACATGGGCATCGAGATTTATAAGTCACAGATGCAACGGGAGATCTGAGCCTAAAAGGGGTCCATGGCACGCCCTATGGAGCTCCATTTTCACGGTCATTCGTTCAAGTCACTTAATTTCGCGACGCGAGACTTCCAAAGGCCGAAAATGATGGTTTGTTCGCAGCCGAGCTCGAGTCTCTGATTCGCTGCTTCGGTGTCGGAGCTCGTATTTCCACCGAAGCCGGCGCTAGTATATCGATAAGATCCGCCGCAGCGAATTAGAGCTCGTCATTGATCTCACCATCTCGAATATGCCGGCCACGGAGATAATCCCCGGTGATCTCAGCTTACAAAGACCGAATCCTCATCCGTAAAATACCACAACTCTCGGCCTGTCACTTATCGGTCGGTGTAATACCAAATCATGTCTTCTCGGCCCCGGACTCGGTCGTGCGCCGTATGTCATCGCCGAAAAGTTCGCTGTGACAAGAATTTCCCTTGTTCGCAGTGCGTTCGGTCTGGCTTTGAGTGCTCGTATCCACCTGCTGGCGTGCCTGCGAGACGGGCCAAGAAGACGACCATCAATGATGTTGCAAGTCGGATCTCGCAGATGGAGAAGACGATTGAGGCGTTTAAGGCTGGGCAGGATGGGTCGCCGCAACCGACAGTGTCTGCAGGTTCAGTGACGTCTGCGAATAGTGTTCCAACACCAGCTAGCACAGCTACAGACGCTGAGACCAGAGAGAGGGTCAGAGGTTCTCGTGAGGGTCTGTTGCTGAATAAGGGGACAGGTAGTCACTATGTAAATGAAGTTCTCTTCTCTCGGGTCATCGAGCAGGTAAAGACGCTCCAGTAGTTTGTATGTCTCGCGCTAACACAAGCCCAGGAAGATGATGTGCGAATGGCCTTGGCAACGCCAAGGGAGGAGCCGCCTCACCAAGTCGATTCTCCGATATCTCACTTGAACCCCATGGGATGGCTATCAGCCGGCATAGCATCAGTATCTACTGCCATTTACCATCCTCAAAGACGTGTGGCTATTCGACTATGGAAAGTCTTTGTTGATGGTGTTGATCCATACGTCAAAGTTCTGCACATTCCTACCACCGAGACAACGCTCTACACAGTCATAGGCGACCCTACTAAAGCTTCGAACGAAAACTTGGCTCTTTGTTTTGCCATCTATTTCGCTGCTGTCACGGCCACGTCCCCCAATGAGGCGCTCGACATTACTGGGGAGGACAAGAAGCAAGCTCTCCTTCGGTACAGGATGTGTCTGGAGCAATCAATGGCCCAATCAGACTTCCTCGAGAATCCGACAATCACTTCCCTACAGGCAACGGCTATTTATGGGGTGAGTTCGTTAATGAAAATCAAAGTCATTCACTGACCTTGCTTAGGCCGCCATGCGGGTCCATAACTCATGTCGAGCTGTCTGGATCATGAATGGCCTTGCACTTCGAGCCGCTCAGTCAATAGGTTTGCACAGAGACGGCAGCAAGCTCGGTCTATCACCCTTTGAGTCAGAAATGCGACGTCGAATATGGTGGTATTTCCAAGAGCGAGATGGAAGAGGCGCCGAGGACTATGGACTACAGAATCCATCCACCGCCGCTACAGTTCATAGTGTTGCACTACCGCGAAACTTACATGATAGCGACATTTCCCCAGGGATGAAGGAGCTTCCGCCGTCAAGGCTGGATTGGACACGAATGACGCTCCAGCTGTGCTGCAACCAATCATCGCAGGCTTGGGATCATCTCTTCCATATGAGTTGCTCTGCGGATGGTATACCGGATGAAGATGTACGGAGGCGAGTCATCAAAGATGCCGTTGAAAAGGTCGAAGGGATTCTGCAGCGCTGCAACCCCGTGATACCAGAACAAAGAATGACGATACGAACTGCACGTCTGATTCTCTGCAAAGTCGACGTAGTTTCCCGTCGACAATGGCAGATCCTCCGATCACCCGATGACCAACCGCCAATGGCCACAGAAGCCGAACTAACTGAAGCAGTCGAACTCCTCGAGCTCTCCAACTGCATGTGGCAAGACGACGACCTCATCGCCTACCAGTGGCTCGCCCGCTCGTATCCCCAATACCACATCATGCTCTTCATTTTGCGTCACCTATGCGTGTGTCCGCGCGGAGAACTAGCCAAGCGAGCTTTTGCAGCTGTAGAGATTCATCTTGGGAATTTCAAGACGAGTGGGAATGGGCCTTTGGATGGTCTGAAGTGGACGGTGCTCACGACGTTGAGGGAGAGAGCGTCCTTGTTGATGCAGCGGGTTGAAAGTGAGAGTGCAGGTGTGCAGTGGGATGAGAGTCAGCGGATGGAAGTGGAGGGGGCGAATGGGCAGGGGATGCAGAGTGGGAGTGAGGTTGCTGTTCCGGATTGGAATATGATTTTGGAGGAGTTTCCGTTAGATATGGAAGACTTTTCGTTGATTTTCTGAGGAGTAAGGCGGACGCTTGTATGATTAGATGAAGTAATATGACTTGAACTTAATAAATAATCACAAAATGAAATACTATATCCTAGGCTGCAATGCCATATTACTCGCTGAACCACTATCTTGAAGACTGTCTTCTGACCATCAACAGTGCCCACTATTTGGATTTGAATTCTTCAGCTTATGTCCATACACTGCCATACCCAAACTTGGTCGATTCTAGAGGACCGTCTTGTTTTGGATTTTCAGAAAGTGTTTCTTCGTCTTGCACGTCTGCGAGTTCCTGTCTCGTCAGCTTTTTGTGATTCTATAAAGTGATGCAGGACTTACGTGCGGCCCAACGAAAGTAGTGCTGCTGCCAGAGTGATACCAGTCCCACGATCAATTGAAGGACTCCAAATATGATGGAGATGACGACTTCAGCAGGAAGCATTGGTTGAGTCATGGCGCAGTTAATCCTGTTTGTATTATTGTCAAAGGTGGTTTGATATGCTTGCTGAGATAAACAGAAAGATTTCTTTGAACTTAAGATTGGAAACAATGCGAAGAAAATTTTACCAAATTTGAATACGACTCAGAGAAACCGTAGCTCTTTTTAATGGCATTGCAGGAGATAATAGTAGTTTTGCAGCCGCACAAGTGAATATGGCTTCCTTGCATGATGACCTGGACACCAAGTCGGGGTACCAAAATAAACTGGTCTAAAAGCTTACTAAACTTAGGCTAGATTTACCTAAATATTTTTGTTACTTAGGGTCAAGGTCCTGCGTTTTCGTTCCTCCCCTAGCCGGGTCCAGGGGAGCCTAGAAAACTGCTCGTATTGGATCGAGGTGCCAAAATAAAACGGTTTCATGCCTCGACAAACTTGCTTAAACCTTTTTATCACCTAAGATTGAGGTTCTTGGCTTTCCTGCTTCCTGAGGCGGCTGTACCGTGTTTCTTAGTGGCTGTTGGTTGCTTGCATGACACCCATGTCTCAGTACATACACAATTGTAGTTTTGCATTCCCTTCGACGATTGGACGGGAGGACGTCCTGTGGCGTACAAGGATCCCAAGAATTGTAGTTTTGTTTCCCCCCTGCTTCACCGCAAAATAGTAGTTTTGCAAAATATGATGAGGCTGACTCTTTCGTCTTGTCCCACGCGTGGGAGCCTTCTTTCTCATTTTTATTTCTTTTAAATTTCTTCACGACACCGCCCTCGCTCTCCAGTCTCTATTCATTCTATCCATCATTTATACAGCGTCTTCCCCAACAGCAGTGGTCGATTCGCCGGCAAATAAGGCTGCTGTGAAGTGTCACCAATATCCACCATGGATCCTCCCTGGTTCACAGCTCCAAACGATTTCTCCAATGAATTCCACAATTTTGGTCAACCATTTCTTGGCACACACCTACCTAGTTTCGAGATCCCAGCTCCACACGAAGAGGTTCTTGATAGACACTTTGTCGCAGACCAAAACCATTCCTATGCTCCACTGGATCCTGCTTATGACTTCTTCATCCAAGGGCTCCAGGATGGCTCCTCTGTGGACAACTTAGATGGTCTGGGGGCGGCCCAAATTACGCCTACTGCTACAACGGGTCCTCCCCGAAAGAGTAGGAAGAAAAAGGCTCCGACTCTACGTGATGAAGACTTTGAACCATTCAAAGACCGAATCCTCGAACTCTATGAGACGCACAAGCTGCCACTTGAGAAGGTTAAAACCGTGATTGAGGAGGAATTCGGCTTCACCGCTCAGTAAGTGAATTTCATCCTTCAATCGAGAAAGACTTGTGACTTACTGATATGTTCCAGACCACGGCAGTATCAGAGCCGCATAACCAAATGGGGCAAAGACAAGAATGTCAAGAAAGTGGAGATGAAAGCCATCGTCCGGAAGCATCAGCAGAGAGAAATTCTCGAGACTGACAAAAGGAAGCTGTGTTTCACCGTCAGAGGTAGAGAGGTAGACGCAGGTAAGATCGACCGATGGATGGAAAGAAATGATGTCCCACGAAATGATCTGTACGCTCCAAGTCCTGCAGCATGTAAGTCAGATCCGACAATAGTGAGATCAATGCAACTGACTTTACATATCTAAGCTACCCCGTCCGCAGTCAATTGCAGAACAATCTCTGAGAGAGGTTCCCTCGCCCACAGTCCAGCTTTATCAGAAATGGGTCTCACCTTCTCTTCGGGCGGCATCACACCAGTAGCTCAGAGTCCAATGGCATCTTCTCCCGCACTCTCCTTACGAGGAATAATCCAAGGCCGCGGCAGTACTTTCACTGGACAGAGTCCGGCGCCTTTCTATCAAGCTCTTCCTGCCCTACGCCCGGCTTCTGATCCATCAGCTACAAGTCCTGTCCATCCACTGCCAAGTTCTACTTTAAACTCCCGGCAGTATCGCTACAAACAAGCCGATGAAGATCGTCTACGGTCAGAACTATCTGTGGCGGAGACCTTGTTCGGCTCCGAGCATGTTGAGACCCTTCGTGTATTGGCCGTCTTGACCGAAGTTCTTCTTGATCAAGGGAGATACAAATCCGCCGAAGAAATGATTCGCAGAGCGATTGCAGGCTATCAGAAGACAATAGGCGGACACGATATTCGCACTCTCGATGTTTTGGAACTCCTGGGGCAAGTTTTCGCTTGGCAGGGCCGGTACCAGCAGGCCTCAAAACTCCAAGAAGAGCTACTTGAGACCAAAAGGGTGGCTCTTGGCGACGAGCATCGATCCACTGTGTCCTGCATGGCTCTTCTGTCAAGGGTGTATCGGAATCAATACCGGTGGGAAAAGGCTGCTTTAATTTCTGAGCGAGTGCTAGAAATATCCAAGAGGATATGGGGTGAAGCGGACACCGATACGCTGACAAGCATGGCGGATTTGGGGTTGGCATACATGCACTTGGGGCGATCAGAAGAGAGCAAACATCTAATAGAGCATGCCTTCAAATTAAGCAATAATCTCCTCGGGGATGAGCATTTTGCTACTCTGCGCATCATGTCTGGCCTGCGAGTTTCATATGCACGACAGAGCGATTGGGCTCGGGCAGAGATGCTTTCAATGCAACTTGTCAACACATATATGAGAATACTGGGCGAAGAACACCCCCACACTTTGATCTCCAAAGCTGAATTGGCTTATACATATGGAGGCCTAGGACAATTAGAAAAGGCCGAAGAGACAGGAGAGCAAGTGCTCCAGGTACAGAAAAGAATATTTGGGAAGAACCATCCTGATACACTGCAAACTGCAGAAACCCTGATGTATGTATACAAGAAGCAAAACGAATATGGAAAGGCTGAGGAGCTCGGAAGGTATATTCAGGAGATGAAAGGGGCCAGCCAGGCGGATATTTAGTGAGGGTAGTTCTTCCCAGTACAGGGGAACTCGAAGCTTATTACTACAAACAGGAGCATCATTTAATCTTAAGAGCTAAAGTTTTAGCTACGATACAACTTGACACGTGACGTAATTCGACAGTCTTGTACGGTGATGATGTGCCATAGTCATAGAGCTGCAAGACAGGTGATTAGTAGTCTGTCATAGGTCACGCGACAGTAGAAGGACGCAGTATCCCTATTCATTGTTTGCAAAAACTTCTGGCTGGCTTATATTCAGCAATGAAGCAATTCAACTGTGGAGAATGTCGGTTGGTGTTTGTGTAAGGCGATCGAGGGTATCGGTGTAATGCTGACAGATGCTGGTGTTGATGTCGATGTTTAGATCGCCCTACCCGAAGTTTATCGTCGACGCCTCCCGCATGTGAGTGGGTAAATCGAGATACAGTGTGAGCTAGAGCGAGTCAGTCAGTCACGTGTCGGTACAGTCAACAAGGTCAGAGATAACGGTTATAAACAGATAAGTTAAAAGGTCTAAGTCTAACTATAGAATTAGGGTTAGAATTTATATATAAAATATAATAATTTACCTAGGTTAATGCCTATCCTGCCTAGCTGGCCTGTTTGCCCTTATTTACACTTATCTTGGTGTTTGTCCTGATAATTAACAATCACATGGCCTGTTTGCAGGCACAATCTAACATACAGTTTAGACTACCCTGTAGATTCGGCATAACGAGGAGATGACACGTTGGGAGAGGTTTTGACTGTAGGAAAGCGTTAGATCTTTAGAATTAGACAGATACCGGTATAAATTTATGTTTTAATATCGCCTCATTTTCACAAATCTTTTCAAGTAATTCGGTAGGGCTGCTTCAGTTGCATAAGCGCTCAGCCATCCTTCCACCGCTAGAGCCAGTTGGGAAGGGTTCCCATTTCTGGCTGCCGTCCCCTCTCGGCAGAACCAGGCAAGCCCAGGCCATTCCAGGGCGTCAACCAATGCCAAATCTCAGATGACTTGTTTTGGTCTGGTCCTGGCCTGGACCTTGATTCGGAGCCTCCACCTCCACTGTCTCTTTAATCTTCCCGAGCACTCCATCCCGCCCGCCCATTACCATCCTTGAATGTTTGGTTATCCATCTTTATCCATTCCATCCATCCCTCCCTCCCTCCCTCCCTCCGTCTCTTTGCTTGTTTTGGTCACATCACCAACTTTGTTCGAGTCTTTGTTCTGGCTGATTCACTTGGTATTTTGTATTAGCACCTGACTCAAGTCCCTTCCCTCGATTGCGTCACGACATCTCGACGTCTCCTTGTTGCCTGCTGTGCGCGTCCTGTTGTGGCACTATCATCTCAACGTTTTTAACCGCCAAGCTTACGCCGCCCACGCATACGCATCACGTCCCATTTCCATCTCTGACCGCTGTCTTGCACTCAACTGTCCTGCCGCCAGATCATCGCCTGAAGATCGAGTTGCTACATCAACAGGGGCTCGAGGCCTCGAACTTCCCAATGTCGAATAAGAACGAGGCCTTGTCCTCGATGGATCCCTTCTCGCCTGCACATCAACCCGACGAGGGTTACTCCGAAGATCCTCTCACACCAACCGTCAATCAGGAGTTATCGACTGCTCTATCGACTGCTCTTGCTACGCTGCGTTCTCCCTCTGACTTGAGCACATGGCTTGTCGCGAACTCGTCGCTTCTGCCCCTCGAGGTCAGAACAGGTATGTTGTGTTGATTGGATTGTTGGGGTCTGGTTGCTGACTGTTGACAGAACTGACCATGGCGTTACTCGACAACTTGCCCACGTCTGTCATCGCCGAGATCGTTCACCGATTGAACCCGAGACTTTACATCGATTTTATTCAATACCTCCCCGCTGAGATCTGCCTTAAGATTCTAGGTTTCCTTGATCCTGTGTCTCTCGTAAGCGTCACGCAGACATGCCGTGCCTGGTACGAATTGGCACTTGACCGAAAGCTATGGGAGCGTTTATACTATATGGAGGGTTGGAAGACAATCATGAGCGAGATCGAAGCCTGCGAGACTAAGGTTAACAACGGCCTCGACAACTCGATTCGTCACCTCAATCGACTCCAGTCGATGCAGGACGCCCACCCCAACAAGATTCGTGCCGTTGTCAATTCGGAGGAGGACCTCGAGATGACAGATCGTGACCGCACGCCTGGCCCCAGCGAGACCTTGGCTGGCGGGAGCATGTTCGGTAGCCCTTCTTCCTCATTCTCGTCGAGTCGACCTGCGATCGTGCCCATGGGCGAGATGGACCTTGATGGGTTGTCGAGTAGAAACCCGAGCTTGGATCGAACACTTTCATCATCGTCCGACAGCAGAGGAAAGCGTAAAGAACCCAGCGATGATACCGAGTCCTCCCTAGCTTCAATGTCGCTAGCCGATGCAGCCAACACATTACCACCTTCATCATTGTATATCTGGGATGTGGGTCGATCACGATATCGTATCAACTGGCGCTATCTGTATGGCATGCGACGGAAGTTGGAGGCGAATTGGGAGCTTGGAAAATACACCACTTTCCAATTTCCTCATCCCAATTTCCCCGAGGAAGGTCATCAGGAGTGCGTATATGCCCTACAGTTCGACAAAGACTACTTGGTGAGCGGCAGCAGAGATCAGACCATGCGTATCTGGAACGTTCGCACCCGCCGACTTGTCCGACCACCTTTGACGGGACACATGGGCTCCGTCCTGTGTCTCCAGTTCGATTCTGACCCCGAAGAGGATCTCCTTGTTTCTGGAAGTAGTGACTCCAACGTCTTTATCTGGAAGTTCTCGACTGGTGAGTTGGTGCAGAAACTAACACGAGCTCATCACGAGTCCGTTCTCAATGTGCGCTTTGATAAGCGAATCCTGGTTACGTCTTCCAAAGATAAGACGATCAAGATTTTCAACAGGCGCCCGTTGAGACATGGCGATTTGGGCTACAACAGCGGCGATCTAGTCGGCCCAGTACCTGTTCACCTGCGAAGGTACGGTCTTGAGCCGGACCTTTCCCAGGAACTTCCCGTCAAGCCTCCATTCACCATGATCGGTCGTCTGGATGGACATAGTGCTGCCGTAAACGCCATTCAAGTCCGTGACGAAACCATTGTTTCCGTATCGGGAGATAGGCATATCAAGATATGGAATTGGCCAGATCAGGCCTGTACTCGGACGATTCCAGCACACGACAAGGGAATCGCGTGCGTGGAGTTTGATGGGCGCAGGATTGTTAGTGGTAGCAGTGACTGGGAAGTCTGCATTTTTGATGCACCTACTGGCCTTAAGGTTGCTCAGTTGCGAGGACATGCCCACCTGGTGCGTACTGTCCAGGCGGGATTCGGTGATTTACCATACAGCACAGCAGAAGACTGGGCGGAAGCCAAGGCTGTCGATGCTGAGTACATGCGCGCACTTGAGGCTGGTGAGATTGATAATGCCATGGACCGACGGCATAGGAGGGACCGCCGGGCAAATGCTGGAAGCTCTCGACCTCAGGATGTTCAGGCGTATGGCGCCAAGGTTCCCCCCGGCGGTGGTGGAGGCAGAAAGTATGGTCGCATTGTATCTGGTTCCTACGATCAGAGTATTATTATATGGCGACGCGACAAGGAAGGTGTTTGGAAGCCCGCAATCCATCTCCGACAAGAAGAGGCTGCAGCTGCTGCCCAGCGTGAGGCTGCGGCCAGCTTGTCGAGCGCAACGTCGAACGTCGCGATAGCCGGATCTCTGGCTAGTAGGTCTTCACATACGTCCACAATCGTGCCTCGATCTCCGTCTACGAGCGGCACTCCTCTGGGGCCTTTGATGCTGCGCGATCACCACGGGGATTCCCAGCGAACGGCAAACTCATACCAAGCGCTAATCGACCAAGCGGTGCCTCTTGGGCCCATCTCGTTGCAACACGTGCTTGCAACATACCCGATCCTGCTGGCTCACCATTCCTATCTACAAACCGCCATTGAACGCGAGACTTCGCCTTTGATCCGAGCCCAGCTTAGAGGGGTGGTAACGGATGCTTTGGCCCATCTTCAAATTCGACAAATGCCTATGCGACAGCAGTCGAGTTCTAGTAGTTCCCATATGTCCAGCGATAGCGGCCGTACCAACCCGAGATCTGGCCAAGCACCTCATGCGGTGCCCGTTCCAGGAGGACCAGCCGCGCAACCTCCGGCTAATAACCATGCACAAGGCGCGCCTCCTGTACAACCTGCTCAACCTCCGATTCACCATGCTCATCATGCAGGCCATCATCCTCATATCGCCGCGGCCGAGAACACGTCAGCCCGAGTGTTCAAGCTACAATTTGACGCGCATAAAATTATTTGCTGTAGTCAAACACCAACGATTGTTGGATGGGATTTCTGTAACAAGGATCCCGCATTGGAAGAAGCTGTTCGATTCTTTGCAACAGTCGACTAGATCTGTAATCCTGAACCATAAATGTATAAATCAGAAAGCATTCTTTTGAGCGAGGGAGTTGGGTTACATGGGCTTGGCAGAGTCTTATCGAAAACAATGCACAGAATTTAGGAGTTCCATTGGTTACAGTCAGGTAGATGTCTTATGTGTACGAATGCGTACTAGACACCTGCGGATACTTGGGATCAATGTTCTTCAACAAGTAGAAAATACAAGTTTACTGCATCCATGACAATAATGGAAGTGAAATGATGTGCTTGGGTGAACCTACGAACCTAACCAACGCCGTGACAAGCAAAATCCATGTAGAAATCTCCTAGAAGTCCACTGTGATCCAACAACACCTCGCGTTAACCAGCAACCTGCTTCACCTTGTCTTCAGTCTGAGGAGGCTCGTCCACAAACTCCGGCACGACCTCGTCCTGCAAGAAACCCGGCACAGCACCACCCATCTCATGCTCCATCTCAACCTCCATCCCCAACGCCTCCAGCTCAGCATCCAGCTCATCCTCCTCCACATCCTCAGGGATATCATAACTCCTCGCCAAACTCTCCTGAATCTCATTGCCCACATCCATCAGATCCGCCATCTCATCCTGCAACCTCTCAATCTTGTCGATATCAATCTTGCCATACTGCTTCTTCAGCTCCTTATTCGTCGTCTTCATCGCATCCACCTGCGTCATCACGTTCTTGAGGTTGTCCTGCATGTTGCTCGCCTGCTCCATGTTCCACACCTGGCTCTCAAGCTTGTCCTTCTCCGCCTCGTACGCCTTGCGGCGCTGCAGCACCTTGAGGGCCTTCTGCTTCATCGCTTGCTTGCCGGGGCCTTCGCGCATGCGGGACAGCTTTTCTTGGTAGGCGCCGAGCTCGGCGTTGAGGGCTTTGAGTTTGGTGTCGAGGGAGGATATGCGGGTGTCGAGGTTGGTTATGGCGCCGTTGAGGGTCGGTTTGGGGCCCGCGGGCTTGGCGCCGAAGAGGCGGTTCATCTTGACGTTTGTAGGGGTCGATGGTAATGAAGAAGAGGTTTTGGTTGTGGTGGAAGGGTATAGGGGGTAGATGCGTGGTATGTGTCGTGGAGGTGGTGATTGTAAGGGTCGGAAATGGTGGCCTGGCGAGATGACGTTCACTGCGCACGCGGCTCAAATGGATGGTGGTATAGAGTGAGCGGCGGGGCGGGACCGACACCCCGCCTTGGATCTGAGACTCAAATCGAGTTACCCTAGAACCAAAATGCGAAAATTCAAGAATCAAAGTTTGGAACACAATTTGATATCCTTGGAGCGGATGAGTGATAGACACAGGTATTAATAATATCTCTATGTGCTTTTGCAGTAAAACAGGTGTTTTCCAAGGCCCATCCAGCCCATTTTTGGTGGGTTGTTGCAGATGTCGCATTCTGCATTGAGAGGACCCGCAGAAAGTAAACAAATATTCCTGTCAAACAGAAAAGACCCTGACCTGGTTTAGCACAACCGCTGGTTCCCGCTTATAGTCCAGGGATTTTGATCACGGAAGTCAAATTTCATGCTATTGTTTAGTTTGTGGTACTCGGAACGAACATATGGCTTGAGCAAAGACGTGAGCCATTTCTGCCTCGGGTGAGACATGCTATTACTTTACACGGGAGCAGTTCATCAGAACGGAGTAGGTAGCCAAGCTCAGAGCAAGGCGGGAGTGTCATTCAGGAAATGTGATTGGTCTTTCGACTCTGTCAGTGTCTAACTCTGATGTACACCTTTAAGCATGTTCCAACGTCTTGAGACGACATTTGGAAGCTTGATATATGATAATGGCGGAATCGTCGTCCAATAATGAATGCTGGCGATAATATGGAGTAAAATCAATCTCATTTTAGACCCTATTGATCCTTGGCACTCTCATTTACTAGAGGTAGATCGTGGTGGTCTGTGGTTCGACAATGATCACTCGGACCAAACGTCAATGTCGCCAGCACCAGTAATTCAACAATTGAACAACAATAGGTAGGTAGCCAACAGCAACGAGAATCGTTGGCCTCACAGCAAGTAAAGTCTCAATTGTTTACTTCTGCTTCTCATTGACAGGCCGCCACTGCTCGCCAGCTGCCAGCAGTGGACCCTGAAAGCGGTGACCATTCATGACCCACAATTCTCTGGTGCCCACCCACAGACGCGTCTGGAGCTCCAAGCCCAAAGCGCCTCCATCTTCGCAGCCCACATCGAAATTCAATCCGCAAAACAAAACAAACTCTCCAACTTCTTTGCGCACGAGCACTTGACTTCACCAACAATCTCGTCACGAACTCAACTGCTACTTCGCAAACACTTTCGTCACAGTCTTCAGCTTCTTCAAGCTTTATTTTCACACTTTTCGCATCCTCTCCGCTTCGTTACCCCGTATCGCGGGAGGTTTGTTTACTTCAAAACCTTCGCTTCCGCGCTGCATCTTTGCGATGGCGGCTGCGGACGTCCCCAAATGGGGCTTTGGGCAAGAGCCCATGCAAATGTGAGTGTTTATCCTCATCGTGAAGATTATCATGTCGTCTCTTGAATATACTGACAATTTATTTGTAGTAAACCGGTTGCTGCCGACTTCATCCCGCATTTCGCGACCACTGGCGATACTCGTGTCGACGCTGGCAAGACGTAGGTTTTCTCGACCGTTGAACTCAAAACAGCCTCACTAACGGTTCCATAGCTTCCTCAAGTTTGGAAACTTTGCGTTCAAGAAGCCTCTTACCCGACCACCCGCGTGGCAACGGGTTCCTACACAGTCGCTTGCCGCTCCCAGCTCGAACCGACAGATTATGCGCCGAGTTACAGTTTCCAACAGCCTTCAGCTTGATACACCCTTCGTCATCTTCCCAAATGTATCCGCCATTCCTGTTCCTACTCGTGAAGAGCTTGGGTTCGACCTTACTCTTCCTCGCAAAGTCCAACGCCTAGAAACCTACAAACCTGTCTTTAGGGAACCAGTGTATGAGGATTTCTTGATGTTCTCGCATGCACAGCACATGCACCAACTCATGAGAGCCAAGGGTAAGTAACTTCTCGAATACTGCGCTGCCTTTTAACTGACATTTAATCTAGTTGATATTGCGAACGGCCTTATCGACACTCACTCTGGCCATATACGCAAAGACATGAAGGCTATCGAACAAGGAGGCCGAAAAATTGTTCCTCTCAAGCGAGTTGCTGGACTCATCAGCACCGAAGTTGTCGATGCAGACGGTTCCCCCATGTCCCTGGTGCCGGCCAGAGGTAACCGATTTCTTACGTACAACGATGTGCTTCGTAAGATCCAGGACGCCAACCAATCCGGAAACCAGTCCGTCAATCTCAGAGGTGCGTCCATCTCAGAAGTCACTTCCGCACTTCAAGAAAGTCATAAGCCTCGTCGAACGCGCCTCGCTGCTCTTGGCGAGCCCGAACTCTCCACCATCTTGGATGAGGAAGAACCAGAGAGTTCCCCCGTTCAGGAACCTGTTCAGGAGCCTGTTCTCTTCCCCGGGTCCCCCTCTCCCTCGAAGCGACTTGGTCGTTTCCTCACCAGCGACACCATCAAGAAGAGCGTCCGCCGACTTTCGAAGCTTGCCAAACTCGTCCAAGGTTCGCCTTCCAAGTCGTCCTCTCCCAAATCTTCTCCTTCCAAGTCGAAGCGTGCTTCTTCACCTCTCGCCCAGCGTTCTAGCCCTGTCTATGAATCTGCTGCCAAGGACAACATGTCCACTGAGTCCGTCGCTGACTCTCCCACTCGCCCTGGCCGAACTTTCCGAGTGCCATCTGAGTGCGACTCATCTTCTTTCGAAGATACTGGTCTCCCAGAGACCCCCAACAAATCTTCGTCGCCCGTTATGAACTACTCGCGACCCATCGCTCCCACTCCCTCTCAGTGGGACCGACCTGCGCCCTCGACTCCCGCCACTCCTGCTGCCCAGAGTGCCCCCTTCAAACCCGTCACCCCTCAGCAGACCGACAGTCCCATCGGTCTCGCTGCCCTTCTTCCTGCCATCCTCCCTCCCTCCACTCCCAAGCCGCATGGTTGCACACTTGAAGTCCTTGAGCCTAGTGAGACTTTCGACTTCGGGGAAACAACTTCTTTCGGTGTCTCCAACTCTTGGTTGCTATCGTCTCCTCTGGCCACTGAGCCCAATCGTATCAGGGCCGGTAACCAGGCGCGCCGTCGCCGTAGCGAACCTCTGCTCCGCAAGTGTCTCGACACCCGAGCCCGTCGTCTCTCGTCCTCTCCTCAGAAGGTCCAATTCCAACAGGAAGCGATCTTCAGTGATGACATTTCTATCGCCTCGCTATTCGACATAACTTATGAGTCCCCTGCGAAGGCCGCTGCCATCGATGCAGCCGACGAGACTTCTGTTCTCGATTCTATTACTTCTCCCTCCAACGAGCCTGCAGCTGAAAGCGCGGCCGAGCACACTCTTCCTCTTGACACCATTATGGAGGAGAGTGTTGCCACTGAGGCTGATCCCATTGAGGCAGCCCACGAGACTTCTGTTCTCGATTCTACTTCTTCTCCTTCCAAAGAGCCTGCAGCTGAAAGCGCGGCTGAGCAGACCCTTCCTCTTGACACTATTATGGAGGAGAGTGTTGCTACCGAGGCTGATCCCATTGAGGCGGCCAAACCTACCGAAGGCGAGTCTACCTTGGGCTATGCCAGTGTTCTCACTGAGAACCTCTGGTTGCGAGATCTGAACTCTTCACCCACCGCACCTCCCGCCAACCAACAGGACGAGCAACACAGTTCCATGCAGTCACCCACTACCGTTGCCGAGTCACCTGTCACCAAAGCTCCCACTTCTTCTGAAGAAGGTGTTGTCAACATCGATGTCCGGGAGAACCCTGACATTTTCGGGACTCAAATTTCCTCACCACCTGCTCCTACTCCAATTCAAAATCTTTCTCGCATGGCCGACGACGCCTGCAATGGCCACGCTAAGGTCGTGGTCACTGAGGAAAACGGTAGACTCTTTGTCCGATTTAAGGTGTCGGCCAGATATGCCCACATGTTCCCTGCAAGCCAAGGGTTCAACGATTCCCTCTCGTTCTCTCCATCCGTCGACGTTTCTACACCAAGACCTCGACCCGTCAACACCACCCTGCAGACTCCTGATCTCAATAGCTTCAGTGACGTTACCAGCCCATCTCCCAGCGTAATGCAGACCCCCGAACCTCGATCTACCGAGTCACTCCTCAAGACACCGGATACCAACGGTGTCGGTGTTATCGACCGCTCCTCCTCCGGTGAATTTGATACACCTGAACTTCCTCAGAATGACAACACTCTTGTCTTCGGCGAACCTACAACAATCGACCGACCTTCTTCTATTCGACGCGCTACTCGCCGTCAGAGCGAGATGACTCCCTTGAAGCGTGCTACAAGAAACGCAATGGGCATCTCTCAGGGGCCAGCCACACCCCGATTCGCTACGCCGGCGGCCGATAATGGTGACCAGACCTTTGTTATGGAAGAAACACCCGCTAAGCGGGACGATGAAACACCTGCTCAGCAGGTCGACACTCCAGCAGCTCCCCCTATCCAGGAGGTAGAAGCCGCTCCTGCTGCCAATAATGGTGGCCAAGACTTGGACAGTCCAGGTCGGGATTACTTACGCGCTTTCATTAACCAGAATCGCCGAACTACCGCTTCCACATCCGCTACTGCCACTGCCACTGCTACTGCTACCACCAACGAATCCTCAACTACCGCTGCTACAAACACCACCACCCTTACACCCGCAGCAGAAATCATTCCTGCCGTCACCACGACCGAAGCAGGATCTCCTATCGCACCAGCAGCCAAGCGCCAGCCTCTTGGAGCTCGAAGCCCTAACAGGGGTAGTCCCATGAAGGCCAAACGTAAGGCAGACGGTGATGGTTCGTCACCATCACCGCCAAAGAAAATGAAAGTCACTGCCAAGACCAAGGCTAAGCGCCAGAAGGCAGAGTTGGCCATCGACATGACTGATCTTCCCTCTGCCTCTCCCTCTACCACCACCACCACCTCTCCCTCCGCCGACACTCCCAACAGCAAGCAGGTTGACGAGCTTGCGCCCAATAGATCAGTCACCCGCCGATCGTCTCGGCTCCGAAGCCAAGAGCACCCGAGCGGTGCTCCCAAGTCGTCGCTGCCTACTCCGATCAAGCTCGGCCGAGCCGGTGCTGGCCGCAGCCTCCCAAAGAAGGCTCGCAGTGAGGAAGACGAGTTGGCTCGCAAGACAAGGGCCAACACCAAGCGGAACATGGGTAAGGCCGAGTTCCCTGCCGAGGTCCTCGTTAGAATTGCGGACGAGGCAGAGAAGAACTCTGACCATGGTGAGGAGTCGGAGAGGCCAGCAAGTGGTCGACGCGTGGGGTGGAACCAGCCCCTGGAGAAGGTGCAGGGAGAGGAGCCCAAGAAGGGGCGGGCCAAGGGCAAGGCCACACAAGGACAGACGGGCATCTCGAAGCCCAAGGCGAAGCGGGCCACCAAGGTGGCAGCGGATCTGGGCATGGTGGCCAACGGCACACCCGCCAAACCCCAGCGCGTGACGCGTTCCAGCGCACGCTCTGGGGTTTGAGCACCCAGAAGTCTCCCGACAGATGGAGACAGCTGCCTTGGTGGTTGGCGGCTTTTGCCTTTGTTTTGACGATTTTTTGCTTTGCTTTCGACATGTCGACGCTGGCACCAGTTGGTGCACAAGAACAAGAACAAGGACGACGACGACTTCTTTTTTGGCGGCGTTCGGGAGGGTGGGCTCCCGACGTCTTTTCACGAGGGCATGATGCATTGCGAGGCGTTGGTGGTTGCGCAAAGATACCACATTTTGGAAGTTTCTGGGACCTGTTTTCGGTGGACGACGCAGGTCGGTGTACGGGTTTAAAGTCCTCGGGATGAGGCTGGAAAACATAGATGCCCCGGATGGGCCATTGTACGAGAATAAGACTTGATTCACACATGATATTGCCTTGCTTTGTGATTTGCCATATGTGATTTGTTGAAACATTTACCTAGTGTGCTGGAGAGCAATGGCACTGTCGCCCTTTGTTATGGTTGTTACTTGTAAGCCTTGATCTCCTACCAATACGTAGGAAGATAATAAGATACGGAGATATCTACGAGTGAGCAGTCACAAAGTCCATAGTCAAGGGAGAATATTTTATTATTTATGTCTATCTAATTGGGAAACCCAAGTCTTTATGTATGATAGACAGTATTAATCAGAATGACGTTAAAAATCTCGAGGCTAAGATAAGTCGGAGACGACGGCCTGATCAGATATTATTGCGGTATCTCACGAGCCATTTTAGTACAGGGAAGCCATGATATGCTTAATGGCGGGGACAATGCCATCATTCTTTTCAAGCAGATGTTTCTCATCCCAAGACATCCCAAGATCGTGGGCTGTCGATCCACTGGACAAGGAATTCGACGGTTTTGTTTTCGTGGTCTACTCTGTGGCGGACCCAGTATTCGATTTCGTTCTGGATGTCATGATGGCGTCGGTGTGATCGGTATGATCGCTAGTAGCATCAAATTATGTCTGGTCGCCATCATCTGCAGCCGACGTAGAGAACTGGGGTGTAGCAAGCCCGTAGCAGACATGGACGTCTTACGAGTGACTTTCATTCTCTTTGGAGGTGATGGTTCGTCACCATCACCGTCGGCCTTACGTTTGGCCTTCTTCGGGGATCTTGATCTCGACGGACCGTCCAGAGTTATATATACTAGACCGGTTCCCCATTCCGGGGCGGATGCACGCTGTTGGGAGTTGTGGGGATGTTTGGTGGCACTGGGTTTCTACTTGTCAACATTGTAGCCTTGGCCTTGTAGGCAGTAACGTTGTTGAAACGGTTCTCTGTACTCTCTGAGTGGGACTATCTGGTGTAGTGGCTGATCTGCGTCGGTTGTGCCTCTGCTTTCGAGAGGTCTTGGGCTGACTGATGACCTGAACGTTGCCGGAGTCTTCAGAGTCATCGGATATCTCTTGGGGAGAGCAGGCGGTGCTATAAATATGCATCTATATAGGTATAGGAGGGGGCAAAAAAATATATATTCTTCTCGGATTGTGAACGACCTTTGTAATCTCAACACTGACCGAGACTCTGAGTGAGACTCTGATTGAGACTGTCTGTCTAGGATGCTCCAGGTCGAAGCGCAGATTGTCACTACCTTTGTCTGGTAAGTTGGCGGTAATCAGCCGCTCGTGCTCCCCGGTAAGTGTCATGCTGCTTCTTTCATCAGATGACACTCCTGAACATGTCTGGGGTCACAGGCCGATGGACATTGGTCCAAGACGTTGACATTCGCATTTGTCAGTCGATGTGCATGTCAGCGTCCATGTTGTGAAAGACTTGAGAGATACGATACTCATGTTGTTTCATTTTTTCGAGTCCTTTACCCTCTAATGCCCAGGGAGAAGTTAGGATTATGACGTGGCCTCTTCGTTGGCACGCGAGACGATCGTCGTTTGCGTGTAGTTTCTTGATATATGCATTACGGTTAGGACCGTCAATTCCACCATAAGCATCGATAGCGAAGGAAATATAGTGGTACACTCGCTACACAACATAGTCCTTTCGCATTTTTTTTTTGGCTCGTGATTTGGTGGATATGTCATGACGTCTGGGCTTGGTCCTATGAGTCTGCCCTGGCTGCTTTAGAGAGTAGTGATTCTCTTGGTTGTGCTCTGAGCAGCAAGAGGCTTCGCTGGTGACACAGTGGCTATGTGACACACGTCTTCTCCATGCTCAGTATTCCAGGACCTCCAAGATGTAATGGTACGAATGCGAACCTTGACCGGAAGCCGTCGGTGGTCTCTTCTGCGGCGGTCAGGAAGGCCAGGAGCAGTTCCGGATGGTGAAATGTGAGAGTTAAGATGCGTCCTAAACACATCAGGGCCCACACACATGTCGAAGACAGCCCTGTAACCCAAAGGTATGAGAATCATGTAGCAGGAGACTTGCGTGGCCAGCTGTTTAGACTCGTTGATATATATAGATAAATTGCATCTTTGTCCGCCAATAATATGAGGAAAAACACTGTATTATATGAAAATTGCTGATGTCTGATTGATGAATTGTTCCTGCGCAGCGTGTCCTCGAAGTATCGTGCTGCATGCCGCCCTTATAAGGCAGACGAGGTCCTGGTTTTGGTTAGGCGAAGAGGGTATGTTCATTCATGTTCCCAATCATTAATAGACTGTGTCGAGACTGACCATGTTATCCAGGTTAGTTTTGATCAGATTCTCTCCCTTCAGACCAGGTAGGTCGCGGGAGATAATCTGTTTGCTCTTAATGGGCCAAGCTGTTTTTCAAGCGCTTCCCGTGGGAGGTCCTTGTCGACCAGACCGGTTGCACGCTTCTCCTCCTCGTCTATGTCCCACAAAGCATCAGCTGCAATGAAATAGGGGTATAAGATGTCTGCAAGGCGGGCACACTCTATCCGTAGATCAAGTCGGTCGATCTTGCGATGTAGAGCCAATCTCAGGATCAGCATCATATACATCCGATGGCAGATGTCATCTACCATGCCATAGCATTCTCGAACGCAGCAACGCCATGAGAGACACCATAAGGATGGGAAGCTGTCGTGCTGGTGTCCCATGCCTGCGACAATGTATGTTGTCCCTCCACTTCGATTGAATGACCTGATTCTGGATGAGTTCTAAGTATCGTTGTTGATGCTTTGTGATAATCTGCGTTATTTCCCTCGTCTTTACCTCTTCCAAGCAGGATATCGTCCACCTAAGTCACTTCTGTACGAAAGGTGTCGATCACTGAGTAAATTCTGAAGGGTTTGATGACTAGGTGTGAATCAAACTCTGGCAGACCTCATATCATCGCTGAACATGGACTGCATACTCTAAATATAATAAGAGACATCCTCCCACGTGGTACTCTGGAAGAACGAGCGGAAGGACTCCGCCGAATGTTGGCTTCACTAAGAAGCGTTGTGACAGTGCGGGCATTCGTTATATATATGCGAGGTAAGGGCTCGGAAATGTTTTCCAAAGCACCTATGTCTTTCTTTGGTGGTCTACTCTGTGGCGGGCCAAGTAGTCAACTTAGTATGTGCATATGCGATTGACGGATTCTTGGCAGACTTCTTGGAGACCCCATCCCGTGTCGAAGGACTGGTTGTGGGTATATATAGTTTTGGCTATCATCCATGCCGTTCCTGAAACAGATGGAACTTTGGCTGAAGTAACCGGCCTCACGGAGATCGAAAAGAATTAATCGGCAAGAAATCGCATTTTCCAACAGCCCGTGACCACGACGAAACGCAAGAGCAGGCGGTGCTTCAGGCATAGTCGTCAGCACAGCTTCCGCGAGCGTCTCATCCGGGTCAGCGCCATGTCGAAGAAGCGTCCGGAGCTGTAGTCTGTCGAGACGAGATAGGATGGATCCCTGTCCTGTATCCAAGGACATTGCTAGGCCTAGTGCAAAGAGACTCGTATATTCAAGCTTGGATAACCTGCTTAATCAAGAGCATCGCCGAGTGTTTCCTTCAGTGGCTGGAGCCACTTGCCCTCCCCGTTGTCCTCCACGACCTGCTGCAACTTGACGATCTCCAAAATCATCATAAATACGATACCGGCGTTTCTTTGGGTATCGAGAAAAGTTTCCAAATGCCTTGTTTTGAACCCTGGATTAAATATGTGCCTGCCGTGGCTTGCTGGCCATCTGTGCAAGCGGTCGATACCTGCCAACCCATCTAAAGATGTATTATAAGGTACCGAAGGGGAGAGACGATTGTAAATTTGTCTGCCACCGATACTCTTTTTGTTATATAAATTCCCTCGTCCTCTTCGTAGAGATCATGATTGACCACCATCACAATCGAATGGGCGGAGGACCAATCGACTCTCTGCGATTCTCTGACGTCTTATTTTGAGCCTTGCTTGGCGCTGGCAAGTTCCGACTTTGCAGCCTCAAGAGAGTCGGAGTGTCTCCGGCATGTCATAGCGCTCGCAAATTTCAGCCAGGTCGAGATCGGAGCTGGGTTCGATTGAAGAGAGCATTTTATCTAGCTCGAAGTGTCGAGCTATCGCGTTGATAGCTTGGTCATGCTCTATCGTGTCTCTCGAAGCAATGGCCTGGACTTCGGGAGTCTCTAATTGTTTGGCCATGAAGTTGTGAAGTTCAAGGTCTTTTCGCAAGTGAGTAGAAGGTCATGTGTCGCTATATATAGGACTTGGGGGAAGGCGACACAGTGGGGTGATTGATGGATGGGCTCTCCTTGCTTTTAGGCAACCCACTGCCAGGCAATGTTCTTCTTTCCCCTCATCGTGTGTATAGTATAGATGCCATTGGCAATTAAGGAGTTGTTGAAGTAGACATCGCTTTGTTGGTGAATAAAGGTTCTCTGAACATGTGTCTTCGGGCACGAACCTGTCCAAGTGACTGTGTCTGTATCCGTAGAAGCCAATGTTTGGTGGAGAGAATCAGGCATCTCCAGGCGAGTAGTTCGAGGTGTCCTCAGAATCACTGGGGTAGTCCCAGCCATTAGGGAATATCGTCCATGGTATTCGTGTATCAGCACGAATACCACAGCTTAGGAAATGGTTCTGAGCTTCATTGGTGGCGCTTCGCGATTTGTGTTTCAAAGCTGGCAAGCACAGGTGTATGTATCGTTGTATCATAATTTATAAAAGTTGAAGCCCAAGATAGACATATGTTGCGTCGTCCAGTACTAGAAGTTGCCGCTCTTAGTAGTTCGATTGGTGTTATAGAACTCTTTCAGGTGGCTTGCGAACTTCGGACTCACGCCGAAGCATGGGCCCTGGACACCAGAGAGCTGGCCCAATATGGCCTGGTGCAGTGACATTATATATCTTGACTTTGAGAAGGGATTCTCACTGAGCCTCAGAACATGAATTGGAGATTGTGCTTTTTGACTATTGTGGCTGTCAACGCCTTCGTCTTCGATGGCAATATTATACCCGCTTTGACAAAATATAGTGGATTCGATTTGCTTTTCACTGCCTGTGAGCCACCCAAGGCTAAGTCAGGGGTTAGCATTGATACAGACTTCATCGCATGGAATCGTTATATACTTGCCTGTTGCTTGGTGTCGAAGTTGAGGGAACATAGTAGCAGTATGTCAATCCTGGCAAATCGTTATTCTCCATCGTCTCGAATAATCTAGACTCGGTACACAGATTCCGGGTCCTGGTTGTGTGGAAGCTGTTGCCCATGCTAAGGAAGGCTGTTCTGTTGGTAGATGGGAGCTAAGGGGGCAGTCTAGCCAGTTGAATGTAGCTTGGTCTGTTCTGAATCTGAACTCGGGGTCTTGGTGAAATCGTTTGAGGGTCTCGGTAAGTTTAACCCCTCTCTGGTGCTTCTCTATCTTAAATTTCTCCTATACTATATTAGCATGTGTAGTAATATTGTGTACGTTAGGGTTATGCCTGGGTTACGGCTTCAGTCCAAGGGCATCTTGTAACGACTTACGGTTATAGCGAGGTTTTCTGGGCTTACTTTTCGCCTTGCTTAGCGCTGGAGGCCTTGGCCTTTTCAGCCTCGAGCTGTTCCTTGAGCTCGGCGTTGAGCTCGAGTTACTTTGTGAGCTCCCCCTCGGCGCAGCGCCAGCCGACGGTTGCTCCCTAGTCTCCTCGGTGGCTCTCTTGGTTACCTGTAGAGGCTGAGGAGGGCCCTGGTCTGATACGCCGGTCAGGGTATGCAGTCTTTGTGCTTATTATATATAGGTACAGGGGATAGTATAGATTTGAGAGATATTGGAGATATTGTGGAGGATAGCTCTGCTTAGCAGAGGGAAGTTACTGAGTAGATAGAAAGGGCGTGGCTAAGTAGATCGAAGAGTTATTGCTGAGGGTAGGGAGAATATGATACTAAAAGGAGAAAAAGGCTTTGTTAGAAAGAGAGAAAGCGTTCAATAGTAGACGGTGAATATGTATGCCGGCGAGGAGGGAATACGCTTGACTGTGTAGAGGGAAAGCTCTCATCATCACGTACCTTAAGCGGGACGAAAGGTGTGTTTCCCCATGTATCAGGGATGTTGACTGGGTCCGCTGGCGTGCTCGAGGCTCCAATCCCAATGAGCGTATTATCCGGGTCGTAGTGGAATGGATGGAATGATGTTGTATGGATGACATACTTGCCATCTGTCAGTCGATCCAGCTTAATTCGGTTCTTGAACTTGTCGAGGAGTTTGAGCAACCTTATATACCGCACGCGGTCTCGCTGCTGACCGAGTGCGGTATCCTCGCTCTTTTCTGACAAAAGGAGAGGGCCCAAGTTGCCCTGCAATCTGGCTTTGCTGATATGGGGAGCCTCCTTTTTAATTTGACTGTTGTAGTATGCCCAAGTCTGCTGCTTGGGACCATCAACAAACCCATGAGAAGGCCGTTTTTGTAAAACAAAGACATTGACCATACGCTCAAAGACCTCTTTGAACTGTATGGTACAGTGAGCCATATCTTCTCTCCTGCTAGGCCATAATTAGTAGATTGCTTACATGAGAAGTTCTGGAGATTATCCTCTATATGCATAGGGGTCAGGCTATAGCGTGATCTTAAATAGTAGTAGGGGCAATATAGGTAATTATTGCTAAAGATGAAGTGACTGGCTTTTAGGTTAGCCAGGATATTTAGGAAGTCTTTGGCTTTAGCTGTTATTATTTTGGCCTTTTCCTCGTTCTCGGTGGTGTATTCTGGCCACGGAAACGGGGCGGGGGAGGGTGTGTCGAACGACGTTTAAAGAACAGAAACGACATCTGGGCGAGTTAGTGTCAGATATAATACTGGAAGCGATAGGGCGTATATGTGATGATGTCAAGTTAAACTGACAGAAATCGACGACTTACCGGGGTGGAGGAGCGCCCTGATCCTGCATGCTACACAGGATCACGGCCGCTACTTCACGCTCATCCTGGATAGGGGTAGGGGCTGGTATCGTCCAGGCCATCGTGGAGAGCTCTGCTGAGCAGAGGGAGAGCGTTTTGTTGCAATGACTGAATCTCAATTCTCTTCTCTGAACGCAAGGGATCTTGGGATCGAGGGGCTTCGTTGCAGAGGTCGAATGTCTGGGATCTCCCTATGCCTTTCATCTCGTACTCATCCCTTTTCCTCGAATAGTGAAAGGAGGTTTCCAGTGTTTGTGATGAAAATGCCAAGGATACTGATCGTCGTAATTTTGAAATGAAAAACGCCTCGACGAAAGCATTGTACCATACTGGGTGATTTGAGCCACATTACCTATGTGATGAACACCGAAGCTGAGTGTCGCTCCTGGCTGAGCGACATTTTCCGCATTCCCCTTACTTTCATCTTTCACTGTTATATTATATAGCTTCCCTCCTTCTGATGCTCCACATTGTGACCGACTTGGCCATGTCTGCGTGGCGAGGGTTTTGTGTTTCTTAGGTGGTTAATGGTCAACCTGGACAGTTGGCTGAGGATCTGGTCTTGAGATGTACCTGATGGAGGATAGACCGGTGCCTTGAAAGACCCCTAAGGAATTGGAAAGGTTGCAGTTTGGCGTGAGATCCCCAAGGCGGGCAGCCAGGCTTTAACTTGACTGTGATGTGTCTTACTCTTGTGCGTCGATGTCAACCTGTAGCTCAACCAAGCTTGGCTTGGAGTTTGCGTGGAGCGGTGGTACAGCGTTCGATCGCAGGACTCCTAAGAACCAGTATGCCAAAGAAAGATGTAGTTTCCAGTGACTTTCCTTGACGAACTCACCCCTACGCGCAGCCTAATCGAGATCCTGAGAGTCTTCTTCATCTTTATGAAGCCGGTGGTCACAAATGTGACTCTGGAGAATTCTCGCTGCCCTCTTTAGCGCCACGCTCTTGTCGTTCACAACAACGGTCCCATCTTCGAGGGCGTGGAATCCGTTGGGTCCCTGGTGTGACGACAGCTTCCTCCTCCAGGGACACTTATGTCCTCAGACGAAGCATGCATGCTGGGGTAAGATGGGTCAGCAATGACTCCACTCACATTCTTAAGGAATTGTGCTCCGTGGATGGCTGGCGTGGAGCTTGAGCTGTAGATTCTTGATCCTACTGCATCGTCCTCTCCCAGATCGGCTCCCTTGATGTTGAGCTGGATCTCGCTGGCCAGTCCTCTAACCTTGGATTCGGCATCGTTTTCCTTGATGGAGGTGTTGAGTGTTCAAGAGAGTCTGCAATCCAGCGACCTCTTATCGAACGCTACCCTTGTTATATTCTTCATTGTTATACCCCATAGTACCTCTGGGCTTCGACGCTCTTGACTTGCTTGTGATAGCCAACACCGGCGTAATGTGTTCTCTTCGGAGATGCTCAGGTATGGCTTCTGACACATGGTCCGGTTGATTTATCGCTTTACATATATATAAACGACTGTGAAAGAATGAGATGGAGGAGATCCCTAGATCCGATAGTGTCTGGTGTGTCGTAAAACCCAATGTCTTGAAGCAGCTGGCCCAACACTTCCATTCTGCCTTGTCTGCTTCGGACTGGTTAACCCAGGCCGTCATCTCTGCCCGTCTCACAGTGGAAACGTGGAGAAGAGAGCATCCAAGAGCTGTTGGTAGTTTTAAGAGAGCCTCTCCCGCGTGCCACAAGACCTAATGTGATATCTGGATATTCTCGAAACATGCTGCCAACGTGGTGCTTGATAAGGATGTTAGGGCCGTGTTCCCGGAGGCTTTCGTCCTGGACTCCCCAGAATCTCTGGCTACTCCTGGGTAATCAAGATTGTTGTCATCTGACTTATCCCACAGTCATGCTGGAAGTGTTTGCGCGGGAAGAAGTATGAGGTGCAAGACCAGACCAGCAATGTGACCGATTCTGAGTCCGGAAGAGAATATCTGACGTCAATTGTTAGTACACATCGCTGAAACCTTTAGCAGGCTTACATATGATAATGTTGAACTCTGTAAGAGGCATGTCGTACTGATAAACTATGGCTGGGGTAGTGAAGAGATCACCGTTGTCCTGCAGCCTTCTACTGCTTTGCAATTCACTCGGTGAGTTCTTGGTTCCGTCGCACTTGGAAGGGGATGTCTTGATGGCCTTGAAAAATTCACCATAGTGCGCGGGGGCAGCGTTAAGCTTTGCTCATCTGTCACCGTTAGACTTGGTGTTAAGAGCAAAGAAGAGTCAGATGTGCTTACAGAGTAGACGTCTTGTCCATAGGCAGTATGACTGGACTCAGGATCAGAGTCTTCGACATTATTGTGATCGCAAGATATTTATATTACTCTGTCAGTAGGTTAGTCTAAGTCATCATAGACAAAGGTTTTCTTGTGACAAGGCTTACCTTTCCACAGCCGATGACTCGGTTTTGCGGACAGGAAGATATTTGACAGAGAAGTATAATATATGAAAAGGATCAGACTCACTGGTACGAGCTTGCCTGAAGCGAAGACAAGTACTGTAGCTCCATGGCAGAGTCCCAGGAGTCGCCTCAAGGCATCGTTGCTTCCAGTGCGAGGAACAGGTTGCCCAACGAAACGTCCATTAGACTAAGTTGTCAGTGCACAGACCTGGGCCTGAGCAGCATGTAGGTGTTCTACTATATAGTTGAGAGATAGTTGAGAAAGTTCAGAGTCCTCAGCGTTCTCAAGAGCTCTATTTATACTATTCCCAGGCCAGTTTTCATCTAGGCAGCATCTCTAACATCTTTCATTACCATAACATTCACATCACCACCAAACTCCATCTCCAACATCACCCAACTCCAAATATCCTCCATCATCACCAAACCCAAACCCCATTTTCACAATCCCCCCAAACTCCAAAAAGGTTGCCAAACTCTCTCAGCACCCAACAAGGATTCCTTCCATCCCTCCACGCGGCAACAGTCTAAATAAAGCACACATCCCCGATCATGAATGCACATACCCGTCTCAATCTCACACAACCTCTCACCCTCACCACCACAAAAGATACCAACTCACAAAACATGAAGAAAAACCCCTCACGGAAACCCGCATCGTAGTGAAACACCAGATCTGCTGTCAAAACCACGGCTCATCCTTCCCTTCCCCGACGCCATGAAACGAAACAAAAAGCCTCCTCTCCTGCGTAACCCATTTGTACCACTCTGGCGTTCAAAACACACCCTTTTTTGCCAAATAAATTGAGAAGGATCAAAAAGCTGCATTCAGTGTCGTCATCACTTGAAACTAAACCATCCAATAAACAAGCTGAAAAACATCGTGTTCTTTTTTGGCTAAACTCGTGTTTGCTGGATGAGAGGACGAGGGGGCCGCTTGTGGAGGGTCGCGTCGTGCCGTGCTGTGGGTGGTATCACGACATTGTTCAAACGCAGTCTAGAGTAGAGTGCTTACTCAACTCAAGGAGACGATTCGATTGATGGATTGTTTGTGCCTCTTCGCTTGGACGACCCGTGTTTGGACAACAGCTCCAAGGCATATTCCACGACATGGCCTGTCAGTCACAGTTGAGACACACGCACGCAAGATGGATGGATGGGTTATTTTAATTCTTTTTTGTTATTATTTTTGCTTTGCTTTGCTTTGCTTCACTCATCTCCTCGTCACCAAGGTTTTGTTTACCAAGGCCGGAGAGCTGTCCAAGTTTTGACAGCCATTAATATCGTCCCCTCATCCTCCGCCAGTTTCCATACCAAGTACGCCAATGAAGCAATCCCTCCATGATACATACATACATAAACACACATGATTGTACACACTCATCCCCCTCCCCTTTGTGACATGTTCTCCCTTGATTTCAAATCCATCAAATCAACCCATTACTTGCTTGCGTCTGCAATGTCCGGGGATAAATGTTTGTAATGTGCGCTGTGCTGTGCTGTGCTGTACTGGCTGTCTTGTGTTTGTGCATTGCATCCTTGTGGTAGGTTGCCAATGTCGTGCACTCCAGTTTCCTGGCGGGGAAAGCAAAAATGTAAAAAGTGAAAAAAGGCAAATCCAACTCCTGCCAGCTAGAGCTGCGGACATGCCCTGTCCTGCTCTGCTCTGCTCACTGTTCTTTGTTTTTGTACCCCAGGTCCAGGTTCCGTCTAAACTTTTTTGTCTTCTCGATTCGCTTTGCTTTTCGAATATCCAGGTTTCCCTCTGTTCAACGCCCTGCACTTCCCATTATGTACACTTTCTAAACAATAAACAATAATGTGCAAGCCTCCTCCCCACGGAGAAGGCTAAGGCCGTATGTTGTGCCGTCGTGGCTATATCGGGATCGGTGTCCCAAAAAAAGAAAAAGGAATGACATGAGTCGGGGTATCTCTGTAAAAAAATAGTGCAAAATAGGACATGAAAGAAGTAGAAACGCCAGCAACCCCATGATAGCTGGCTTTATCGTCCAACGACTTCTAGTTTACTCTAGTCGTCATCGTCATGACAGTCATTAAATTGGTCGTTGATCCCGTGGCCCAGTTCGTGTTTGCCGGAGGGGACCATTATTTTCGCAGGCCGACTTTGCCTGCGAGGTTCTTCCAGAATCGTGCTCCCTTGCGCTCTTCGCTGTGCGTCCGTAGCATCACCTCGTCTCGTTGCATGGGTCCTACAATGTCTTCGTCGCCTCGGGAGGGGAACTTGCCATCCGCATCCACTAGTCGGGGAATTGCGCTGGGCAGTCCATCCTCAAGGCGCTTCCATTGCATACCCGCAAAGACATCGTCCATGGGAGGTGGTCGACCAAGGATGGAGCCGCCGCTATTGGCTCGTGCTCGTCCACGGCCACGGCTGCGGCTTCGTGAGGCGCTTGTTGAACCAGGAGCAGAGCTGGTAGCTTGCACAATCTCCGACATGAGTCCGTCATGGGTTGACCTCCATCGCCTCTCGATGCCGGCCCATTTGGCCTCAGTAAGAGCGTAGATTTTGCTGGTTTCGCCGTAGTTCTCGCCAGTGCGCACCAAGTGCTTGGTGTAGTTACATCGTGCTGCGTCCCAATCGTTGCGCAACTGCTGAAGGGCCTCCATGTTCACAGTCTCGGGTTGATAAGGCTGCGGTGTGATGGTGAAGTTGGCGTGACCAAGGCGATCCGACCACTCATCGTGTTCCTGCAGGATCGAAGGGAGAGGGATTGGAACTTCAGGACTGTTGGAACCAAATCGGAAGGACGACACTGAAGGCTTTGTGCTCAGAGAAGGTCTAGGGAACTGTGTCGCAGAAGGGACCGGTGACGGTACTTCGGTAGTCGCAGATGGTGGTGCAATAGTCGGTGATTGTAGAGGTGACTCAGGCGGCGGGCCGCTCAATGGGCTGGTCATCAGAGGAGGCAATAGAGGGGTGGTAGCCAGTCCTCGTTCTCGCTCGAGGTCGGCTTGCTTGACAAGGGCTTGCGCTTTCTCAATGTCGATAGGCGCGGGAATGTTGATGCTCTCGGTGCTGCCATAGTAGGATACTGCCGGGGTGGGAAGTCCAGTGTTTTCCAACATGCGCTCCTGTCCAGGTCGGCTGGGTGCAGACATGGACGACGATCGACTAGAAGGACCTCCAGATAGCACAACGCTCTCCAAGCTGAGCTCTGTGCTAGGTGAGAGCATCGGGTTGCCCCTGCGGGTGTTGGGGTTCCAGCGCGTGAGACTAGGGAAACGGGCGCCAATTCGTGACGTTAGTCCAGCAAAGGGTGACTCGCTGCCGGATCGCTTCTTGCGGGATTGCTCGTCCACGGGGGTGTCACCGTCACTCAAGAAACCCATGTCGTAGTCGATATCATAGTCGCGGACAATGTCTCCATGGAACATGACATCTTCGGAGCTATTTCGGGGCTCACACAGGTTGTCGCCTACACGTGAAGGGTATGGGTTAGTAACTCGACGATCACCAAGACGAAGACAGCAGGCCAAGCACGATTTCCCGGAAGATACGACAGCCTGGCCAGGCGGACAAGACATACACAAACAGTCATAGAGACTAAACTGGTCCGAAGGGGCAAGACTATAACGGTCGCTGTTCTCTGTGTTGTCTGTGACGGTGGTGTTGTGTTCAGGTTCCAAAGGCTCTTCTTGAACATCGGGCAATGACCGCATTGGGGGTTTTGTGTGGACCGACTGAGTGGGCGATACAGGAGTGTCGTTCAATTGCGGTGGGAGATCGAGAGAAGAAGTCGAGCTCGACATTCGAAAGTGACCCTTTCCAGGGGAGAAAGTCGGGGTGATTGGAGAGGTGATGTCGGAGGAGGACGAGTTTGTTGTGTAGTAGATGTAGGAGAGGTCGGTGTCGGGGCTAACTTGCTGTACCTCCCACATACGGCGCTGGCGCTCCTCTACCAACTGCGGCAGAAGCAGCGGCTTGAGCCTTGGCGACATGATGTCGGCCTGGACGGTCGAGGCCGTTATGATTGCGAAGTTGTCGAAAAGACGAACGACTGCGTTTCCTGTCTATTGTGTTGTTGTTGTTTTGTTTTAGGTGTTGGTGGGAGAAAAACAGAAGAAGAAGGAAAACAAAGAAAGTTGGAGGGATGCCTCGGAGGTGGATGTTGATAGAGGCAGTGACACAGCAGCCCAGTTGGGTTAGCCTGGTGTAGTCTTTTTGGGAGCTAAGGTAGTGGCTAGGTAAGTCGCTGTCTGTCTGTCGGGCCAAGTGGCGGCGGATCCGGGGACCGGGGGTGCTTCTCTCTTTTTTCCCTTCCCACTGACACTGAGACCGGGGTGGGATCCAATTCTTGCTTGGGAGGGAGGGTATGGATGTGGATGGGGCAGGTGAACAAGACAAGGGTGTAGAAAGCCAAAGCAAGGCGGGTCTTTCTCAAGCCCAAGCCTGAACAGACTGTCTCTCTCTCTCTCTAGACCCTCCTCTCACAACTTTTTCCCTCTTCTCTGCGTCTGAGCGGAACAAAAATTGGTGGGGTACCGTTGGGTAGGAGTCAACAAGGAGACGGTTCCCGGACGGTGGATTTTTTACCTGCTCCAAGTGGGCTGTGTCCGGCAGAGACTACCTAACCTCTAGGGCGGGCGGGGACTGACTCTGGTGGTTGACTCTCTGACTCTTGTTTTCTTGTTGATGTTTGGGGTGGTTGAAAAAAACAAACGATTTCTGGTTGCCGGTTGCTTTTTTGGCTTTAGCTCGTCGTTTCAGAGGTCGTGGTTGGCTGTCCTCGTGAGGGCGGGTGTGTGACTCGTATCAAGTGATATCGATGTTTGGCTGTATCAGATTGTATTCAATGACGACAGATGGACGTCGGCAAATGTTGGTGTTTGATCAAATAAGGAGTCGACGAGGGAAAGAAAGAGATCATACGGGCAAGACAGTTGTTTATTTAGTATCTCAAAGGTGGGAGGAGGTTTATGCATGGGGTGATTGACTGCTGATGAGTTCTTGGACGTCTGTCTCTCTGTGTATGCGAGCGACTCTTGACTGTCTGGGCGGCGGCTGGGCAGGGCTAGGACCACTTCGCGGGTAGGGCACAGCACAGCGCAGCATAGCACAGCACAGCACAGCACAGAGCAATGACAGG